ATAATTATAAATCTTTGCAATACTTGTGAGAAATAGTTGGTCTTTGAACTCTTCTTGAGGACTTCAATGGTTGACTCAATATTATAAAAATATGTCCAATAAATGACTAATAAATGGCTTAAATAATCATAAATCTAACCGAATATACACTAATAATATTAATAGTAATAAATTTGTTTAAAAACCAATCGTTGCTATAAAAGCACGTCCTATAAGACACTTCTTCAGCAAAATAATCAAAATTTAAACCATTTTCTATCAAAAGGCAGTAAAAATGTCGACTTTTTGGTCAAATGTTGTGATGAATTGAATATAAGTCTCAATGAAACAGAAAATCTTCGTTTAATTAATTATTCATAGCTTTTAGTGTTTGTGTTTGGCTTTAGTATCGTCCAAATAGTGATCAGATATCCATAATTAACAATAATTTGCCAAAAATTGCGATAATTTTCATAACAAATATAAATACGGTTTCGTAGGAAAAACGACTAAATATTACAAAAAGGATTCATTCGTCAAAAAAATCTTCAAACTTCTCATCAATTAATCAAAGCATCGAAAAAACTTATTATTAAAAAACAATTAATTAGCGATGAATTGAAAACATTAAATATAAGGATAAATATATTGTCGATAAAAATGAGCGAAAAACGAGTAGTGAAACGGAAAACCAATTATTACTGAAAACGTTGTGTGTTTTGAGTGGTGTTTGTAATTTGGAGCCAAATATTAATCAATAATAATAATAATATTGCGGTTATTATAAGGAAAACATTCAATATATTTGGCGATTTGTGTCACAGATTTGCCATTGAATGCCAATTCAGTCAAACTTATTATTATCAGTCCATCGATCGCTATATCAACGAAACAAATACTTTTAAATCAATTCATTTGTATTTCACTATTAATACATCATTTAATAAGACATTCACTACTCATATGACACTACAGTAGCACTCAATACACCATTCATTGCACTCAATATGCAATCAATGAATTCATTCAAAATGTTTCCTCATTTCCTAATTAATTATATGATTAATGAGTGAATACTTAAATACAGTATAAAATATAGTTCACAATAATATACAACTCGTATCAATATATCAATTAAAAGTCATAAAAAGCCAAAAATATAAACTTATTTACCGTTTAATAAAGTAATAATTTGTCGTTTAATTAGTTGATTAGCAAAAATGATGATTAAAAATCAGATATTAATGTTATTGTCGTAAAAAATTGCATAAATTTTATAATAATTAATGAAACGTTAGAAAAAACACAGTTTTCACGTCAATTACAAGAGACTTGTATTTTTGATAAATAATTTTTGTCACAATTTATTGCTATTTGCTCGCAAAACACGGATTTTAACGATTGTTATGTTATATGTTTGAAACACAAAACCATTCATTCATTTCAATTCAATACTCAAAAGAGATTTAAGCGAAAAAATGGCCGAAATTTGTATTATAAGGGAAACGGATGTAACGTTTTGTGCAATTATTTTCACAACTTTTCTCTCACTTTCTCCGACAGACCTCTCGCTGTGCCTTAAATACACTTTTTGACGACCATTTGGTCCACGAGTTGGTCAACAAATACACTCAATGTGTAGTAATAGGTGTGAAAAGTGAACAAACTTTACATTCAATACAATCAATGACTAGATATTCAACGAAACAACTGTTTTGCAAACTTGTGTCCAAAATATTTGTCTGTATTTCTCACATAAATGGCGTTCAAACGACTGCCAAAAAAGTTGATTCAAGCGATTAATCAAACTTTTGCCACACTTTCGCACATCTGTTACAAATAATTTACTTAAT